AAAAACGTTGCCTGGTCTGATGAGTCTCGATTTCTGCTGCGACATTCAGATGGTAGGGTCCGAATTTGGCGTAAAGAACATGAAAGCATGGATCCATCCTGCCTTGTCTCAACGGTTCAGGCGGGTGGTGGTGGTGTAATGGTGTGGGGGATATTTTCTTGGCTCACTTTGGGCCCCTTAGTACCAATTGAACATCGTTTAAACGCCACAGCCTACCTGAATATTGTTGCTGACCATGTTCATCCCTTTATGACTACAGTGTACCCATCTTCTGATGGCTACTTCCAACAGGATAATGCACCATGTCACAAAGCTCAAATCATCTCAGACTGGTTTCTTGAACATGACAATGAGTTCACTTTACTCAAATGGCCTCCACCAGATCTCAATCCAATAGAACACCTTTGGGATGTGGTGGAACGGGAGATTCGCATCATGGATGTGCAGCCGACAAATCTGAAGCATATATATATATATAGTTTGTTAATAAAGATAACGTCTATTTGAAAATTTGCTTAGACGTTTTCAGGGACGTGAGCTCCAGGGCGTCAGACTCAGCGCCATTCAGCGCTCATGAACCCACCGAGAGCGCCTCACCTCGGGCAGATCTTCTGGAATTTGCCGCTGGCTCTGATGTCTCTATAATGGTTAAACAAGAGATATAATTCGTTTTGGGTAAATCTGACGGGCAGTCTTTGGTCTCATTAATCTATTTTTTGTTCCAGAGCAAATCGTTTCGGCTGAAGGCAAAATTGCATCACGTTATATTTTATGTAACTTTAATGCTGTATATTGGAGCATGGCTTTTAGTTGAATTGGCTGTGGAGATAATTGGCATAATACATATTTACCTGACTGATAATAAATTGTTACATTTAATTCATTCTGATTACTCTGAAGTTATTTTCTCAAGTAGATTAAGTGAAGGCTTATGTTTCCGCAAATCTGCGTCTAGGGTTAAGTGCACATTAGATCTCAGGAGATGAAGCATGGGGCGCATCAGGTGAGATTCTAAATTTCTGACTAACCGCTTGATCTTATAGTTTAAGTTGTACTCAGTTACGGTAACCATGTATATGATTTCTGAATTAATTAAATTGTACGAAGCTAACTTAGCTGTCGGGGTCTAGATAAAGGGGGTCTAGAAGAACCGCTGATTAATACTTTGAGAGTTAATTAAATTGTATGAAGCTATCAGCTGTCGGGGTCTAGACAAAGGGGGTCTAGAAGAACCGCTGATTAATACTTTGAGTGTTAATTAAGTTGTACGAAGCTATCAGCTGTCGGGGTCTAGACAAAGGTGGTGTAGAAGAACCGCTGATTAATGTCGGAATATTACATGGGTAGCTGTAGGGGGCTAAACATTAGCCACAAACCTCTGAATAAGGATTAGAATGGCGAGTTTTGTCAAAGTCATGAGTAAAACAGAATGAGCAAACACTCACCTAAATTTAATGGGTAACAAACAACTCTCTTAACCTTTTTCATTTTTGGAGTCAGATGAATAAAAGAGGTAAAATACAAAGTAAAGAGTTAATTAGAATAATTGAATGTAAGAATAATCAGAGACCGACAAACAACCAAATTTGCCTTTCAACCTAAATTCGAGTTCATACTAAAATGGAGTCAGATTGAGTTAAACCTAAATTGAATAACTCTGCGCGCTGAAAAGACCGAACACGCAAGAAACCTTCATCCGCCACTGGATACCTTCGTTGGGCCATGTGCGCGGACCTTACTGTTTCATGTAGCATTTTTTCTCTTAATTAGGTACAATATTTCAAGGAATCACCTGGAAAATTTACGTGATATTGGTTTGAGTTGGACCACTATATCTCAAAAGCTATGTATTAGTGTCAGGATTTTATTTAATCGCAGAAAGGAACTAGGGCTGGAAGAAGGATTTACACCTCTCTCTGATATGGAGCTTGATCACCATATAATCAACGTCCTGTCATCTACACCTTATTCTGGGGAAACATACATTCAAGGCAGCTTGAGAGGCAGAGTACTTAGAGTTCAACGATGGAGAAAACGGGAGCATGTAAATATATATATTCAGATTTAAATTTATGCATTTAGATTTACTTCTATATATTCAGATTTAGATTTATATATTCAGGTTTACATTTATAAATTCAGATTTACATTTATACATTCAGATGTACTTTTATATATTCGGATTTTCATTTATATATTCAGATGTAATTCTATATATTCAGAGTTACATTTATACACTCAGATGTACTTCTATACATTCAGATTTGCTTAGATTTCAATTTATATATTCAGATTTGTATCTATATATTCATGGTTATAACTGTATATTCACATTTTAAGTTTATATATTGAGATTTATTTCTATATATTCAGATGTACTTCTTTATATTCATATTTTACATAATTATTTCCTGTTTGGCACCTCATAATATATATACATTGAACAAAATTATAAACGCAACACTTTTGTTTTTTCCCCCATTTTTCATGAGCTGAACTCAAAGATCTAAGACTTTTTCTATGTACACAAAAGGCCAATTTCTCTCAAATATTGTTCACAAATCTGTCTAAATCTGGGTTAGTGAGCACTTCTCCTTTGCCGAGATAATCCATCCACCTCACAGGTGTGGCATATCAAGATGCTGATTAGACCGCATGATTATTGCACAGGTGTTCCTTAGGCTGGCCACAATAAAAGACCACTCTAAAATGTGCAGTTTTACTGTATTGGGGGGTCAGAAAACCAGTCCGTATCTGGTGTGACCACCATTTGCCTCACACAGTGCAACACATCTCCTTCACATAGAGTTGATCAGGTTGATATATATATATATATATATATATATATATATATAAAAATTATAAGAACAAGAAAATAGCATATCTTGCTTTATCGTATCTGAACTCAAGCTAATGTTTTGATGGGAAGTTCAACAGCTGCACTACAGAAAACTGAGCGAACACTGAAGTCAAGAGCCGTTGCTATGGTGTGAAATGGCAGGTAAGACTACTACACCGGCTGTGAATGGTGCGACATGGCATGTCAAAGTACATAGAACCCATTTTAAGTTCTGTAATTGAATGCGTGCTCACAGTAGACAGATGCTGCGTTCTATTTCTGATGCACTCCACATGCTTGCACTACCGACAGCTGGACAAATAGATTTGGAAAGTTCCCTTTGATACATCCAGTGTAGAGACGATGTTAGAATGCTGCAGACCATGTTCTTTTGCAAGTTTCAGCTCACACATTTTTGGTGTAAACTCGCATAACCAAATAACGGTTATTTGTTAATGGTTATTTGTTCTTTACTCCCCAAGAACACCTCACCGCCCCCCTTTCAAAAGTATTGTTTGTAGCGCCCCCCAGAGCTCTCTGAATGCTCCTGTCGAGAAAGACTAATCTATATGAATGTTTAACCCTTTCACATGTAAGTTTAAAATATTCAAACGTACCTATGGCGGTACCAGTGGGTATTGAAATTTTTTAAATGTGACGATGCCAGCATTTCCCGCTAGCATTTTGAATGCTGTTAAGTGGATTCTTAAACAGCTCTGATTGCCATTGTGTTCACGTGCTCAACTGATATGCCTGTGATTAGCTACAATGATCATCGCTTCACGTTCTTCACCGAGTGCTTACACAGATACACACGGGAGCTTTTGAAATAGGGGTGGGCGGATCAATCCTAATATCGATACTAATGTTGGTATTGATATCGGAACGATACTAGGCTGACGAGATCGATACTTTAGTTTAAATTTCTCTAATCTATGATAGAATACATTGCTCCCATTTTATCAAAGAGCAGACCTGTCTCTGAATACATAACGCCACTCCTTTTATATCTCGTACGCACACATTGCTCCTCCCCTGCTCTGCTGTGTTTAGTTGTCCTGTCATCACGTGATTCAGTGGTGCCAAGCGCAAGCACTTTTGACTGCTCTGAATGAGAGATGACAGAAAGAAAGAGGAGCGTCGTGTGGAGTTATTTTACAAGCAGTAAATGAAAACATTGCAAACTGCGATGTGTGTAGAAAGTCTATTTGCTACTGTGGCAACACCACCAACTTACACAAACACATAAAGCAACACGAAAAAGAATGCCAAGCTGCAAAAGAAACTGAGAGAGGAGGAGCCAAATCCTTCAGACAGACCCCCAGCAGTGCCAGCACTGAGACAGATGTCACTGGCCAAGTCCCTTCAGCATTAGTTAATGCTAATTTGTAAAAATGTGTAATCGGTCATCATAGTTGTTACTTTAATCAGCAGACTGATTAAATATAGACTATATTCAGCACATTGAAACCTGCTATTTATAGGAATTATTTTACTGGAATTGAAAAATATATACCTTAAACCTGAAATATGAAAATGGCTGAATATCCGTTTTGTGTTAACTGTGAAAGGGACACTATGGGATTCCTATATTTTGGCTATAAAGGCAAGATAGGCTTTAGGCTAGACTTAATTATTTTGCTATTTCACCTAGGTGATTCCCCAAGAACTTTGCAGTCATTTCAGCAAGGCTTCTCGTAATATCCAAAGGACCTGCAACCACTCTCTGTGCTCGAAGATGAGGGTTTTAGGAGTTTTGTCTGGACACTCGATCCACGTTACAGGATTCCAAGTAGGAAAAATTTAATGGAAGGGGAAATACCAGCAATGTATGAAGAGTGCTGTTTAAAAGTGAAAAAATCTCTAGATGGTGCAAACATTGCTGTACTTAGAACAGACATGTGGACATCAAGAGCCACAGAGGCTTATTTAACTGTTTCCTGCCATATTATTGATGAGAATTGGCAAATGCAAGCCTATGTCCTAGAAACCTGCAGCTCGACATTTCACAGTGCTGACAACATTTGCTCACAATTTAAAAGAGTCACTGATGAATGGGGCATAACAGACTAAGTTCAGGCTGTAATAACAGATAATGATGCCAATATGGTTTCTGCTGTGCGCAAAGCAGGTTAGGCACATTATCCATGTTTTGCATACACCCCAAATTTTGTAGTAAAGACTCCATTAAAGCGCTCCCTGATCTTCTTGACATCCAGCAGAGATGCAGTGCTATTGTAGCTTTCTTTCACCACAGAACAAGAGCAGCAGAGAGGCTCAAAAAACACAAACACAAGCAACTGAAGTCTCCAGAACAGAAACTGATACAATCAGTTGAAACAAGGTGGAATTCTGTGTTCTATATATTGGAGAGACTATTTGAACAGAAGGAAGCCGTTCTAATTCTGTCCATTGTATTGCAGTATTCAAACAATAAATGCTGTTTTGGCACTGTTTAATGTGGAGTGACAGATCGCTGTAGCGCCTCGATCAACAGACACGGAAGCAAGAGGCACACGCGAACTGATCGTCTCCTCCACATTAATACCAGTTTCAGCACAAAATAAACATGACTAAACATCCGAAGGTAAGTTAAAAGAAAGAGTACAACTTTACAATCTGTATCCTGTCTCATGTAATCGCTCAATCAGTGTTTCCTCCATGCAAAGACGTCAATATAACGGCTTGTAAACAATGTCACGTAACGTCACATTTACCTCAGAAAAAACATATTCGGTGACCATAAACTCATTAGTCAGATAGAAAAATAACCTGTAGAGAGGGGCATTTTGCTAAATATATGCACCATATAACATATTCATTATAAATTTTACTGTTCTTCAATCTTTAATTTATGTTTGAATAAATCCATCAAGTTTTTATGAGAGCCACCATTATGTTTATATTTTAAAAAACGAATTGAAGTAGAAATATTATGTAATTGTAACTTTATTATTTTAAAAACTTCATTAAGCGTAATTTTAACAAATCAGTCAATTTTAACCTTCAATATTATAGTCATGTACCAACTGACTCTCATGTATATTTTACAGCATTAGTTGAGAAATTTTGCCATGTACTGTACCTGATATATAATCAAAATAATCTATATTGAATCGAATTGGTAATCGAATCACAAGCTTGTGAATGAGAATCGAATCATGAAAATTGTGTCAAAACCCAGCCCAAATCAAGACCCACTACTTTGGTGGAAAAAGAATGAACCAATGTTCCCTTCTTTTAGCAAGCTTGCCAAGAAACACCTGGGAGTCATCTGTACCCGCAGAAAGGATTTTCTCGAAGGCAGGACAGTTAATAAGCCAGAGAAGAAGTGCAATAAAAGGTAGCCTAAATGTGTTATTGTTTCTGAACAAAAACCTCTAAGTCTTGACAGAGTGTCAATGTTTAAAAGGGGGCTGCAGGGAATATTTCCTTGGACAAAGGAGGATTTGAGGGCGAGTATTAGAGGCAATAGTAGTTTGTGCTTTTGTTTAGTTATTTGCACTTTATTTCATTTTTTTTTTACAAGCAATTGTGTGCACTTTGTTTATATGTCTAATGAAAGGGATACATTTTATTTTGTTATTTTGAACAAATCCCTGAAAGAAAACTAAAGTTTAAAAGTAAAAAAAAAAAGTTTTTTAAAACATTTGTTCTCCCGTAATAATTGTGTGCACTCTGTTCATTTAAAACGTATTTGAAATGTATATTTGTTTTAAATTAATATGTTTAAAGACAGAGAAGTGGTGCTAAAAGAGAAATTATGTTTTGTTATTATACTATTGTTTCTGAACAAAAACCCCAGACGGAAGGAAAGAAGAATTCAATTTTTAAAACATTCATTGTTCTCCAGTAATAATTTTGTGCAAATTTCGTGTTTCCAAATTCAGTTCATTACAGTAATAAAATATTTATTTATTATTTTGGCTTAAAAATGTTTAAAATCTGTCCTGGGTTTTAACATACACATTTAATTACAGGTGCTTTGAGAGCACAAACTACAAAATCTTTTAGTGTTCATGAAAATTCATTCTGATCTAGCATATTAATGATGCTTTCACCTAATAAATCATGACACACTGCTCTCCCATACAGGAAAGTACATGTAGGTTCAAATGCATGCTTTTAAAAGTAAAAATATCAGTATCAATATCGGCAATACTGGCCCTGTATTTACTTGGTATTGGGCCGATACCAAGGTTGCCAACTTTTAAGTTCAACTTGCAGTGAAATTTTTTTTTGGGGGGGGGGATTTCGATCTTGATTCAATATCAATTCATGTGTATACTGTAAATATATAAGGGATACAAATCTTTTGTTGAATACCTTTTAAGCATATCTTTAAACTTAAATTCAGTATTGCTTGCATTCCTTGGGCCTCATACATGAAACACGAGCAGAACAAATTTGTGTAAAATGTTCGTAAAGCTGTTCTGACGTACATTTTCGGATTCATGAAAGTGTTCGTATTTTCAAAATGTTAGTTGGTGGGAAAGAAATTTACACCTGCTCCGTACCATGTGTAAATGGTGCGTAAAACGTTCCGTGTTCTTTTGGCAAACTGATGACACAGAATTTGGATGTACTGCCATCATAATATTTTACAAAGTTTGCTCCGTTTTTGTTTTTTTGTAGCTGGGAGTTGATAAGCATTGCGTTTTACCCAAATCTAAACAGTTTATCACTGTCACTTTTTACACAGCCGTCCAATCAATGGAGGAGGGGCGGGACAAATACGAGGCTACACCGACCAATTATCCTACTTGTACAACAACTGAACAACAATAGAGAAGTTAACATTGCTGGTTACTGCATTTTTATATTTAGTAATATTCTTCAAAATGAGATGCTAGTAATGCGTTGCTGCCGTGGATATTCCAAATTATAGCAATCAAAGCATCTCAGCTGGAAAAATGCTGTGCCACCAAAGTGTCCTCCAGCCCCACCAGCTGGCCATTTTCAGAAGAGTGCCTGATATTTTTCAGCTTTGGTGGACACACGTTATTGAATATTTATTGTTAGGCATATGGCCTATTAGTCTTTTTTGTGTTTATGCAATATACTGGAGCCAAACCTGAGAAAGTAGACCAGAATATTCCACTGTGTTCCTGGACACACAATTTGTGAATGGGCGTGCATGAGCGCCCTATTTACCAATCATTGGAATTCATTAACATACGCATGAAATCGGAAGTTTACAAAGGGTTTGTGAATCCAGAGGAGAGTTTTCGGGAAGGTCCGTTTTACACGCAAATTACTCAGAACTTACTCCTATATTTACGAATGTTTCATGAATGAGGCCCATTGTGTGTAATTATCCGAGTATCATTAAAAAAAGGATGCAAGTTATTAACTTTAAATTTATAATTTATAAATCTAGTGTTTAATCATGTCTAAAAATGTATTCAAATGAAGAACTTAAAAATAAGTAAGCAGGTATGACCTGCAATATTCTAGATATATTTAGTAAAGAGCCATACAAGTACCTAGTGGGTAAACTATGTCATTACAAATGAAAATGATTTTTTAAAAATGATTTTATTATTGAACGAAAACATACAGCACTTATTTAACGGAAAAATAGTTAAGCTGTATGGTCACATTATAAGCAATACCTGAGGGTTAAGAAAACCATATTAATGTTGCCTCTCCATTACTCTCCAGAATAAAATGATACAGTAAATGTCATCGACGTAATAATCAATACATAATATGCTGTAATGTTTACCAAAAATTGCTGCAAATACCTGTATGATGAAGCTGTCGTCTATCCATTCAAATGTATTATCAACGCTGGTCTGTTTGGAGAGCTCCATGAACCACGTGACCGGGTGGCGACGCCGGTGAGATCAAAGCTTGTCACAACTCTGTTTTTAAATGGCTCTGACTTTAACTGAAGCACTATATTTACGCCACATTAAGTGCGCAAAAAAACTGAAAAAACTTGAAAGCTGAGACTTTGTTTCATATAGCAAGCAGGGTTGCCAATTTGGCGTGAGATTTACATAGGCAGAGTGTGAGACAGAGCCCGGAAGCATGTGTCTTACGTCAAATGTGTGAGAGTTGGCAACCCTGCCGATATAAAATTTTGCAGTAACACCCACCCCTAGTTTGAAAGCTGCGTCTAAAATCTCAAAATGTTAGTGGGAAATGCTGGTATCGTCACATTTAGAAAATTTCAATACAGACTGGTACTGACATCGGTACTTTTGACAACACTAGTTAAGACAGAACAAGTCTACTAAGTGGTACTGCACATGTGTCGAACTCCTCATCCATGCTCACTTGATTATACTTTAAAAGCTGTGCGGACGCGCACAGCTTTGAGAATGAAAACCAACCTGTTTGTTCCTCAGCATCTTCTTGTTTCACTCTGAATGCTTCTTCAAACTTTACATCTTCACTCTCCTCTTTAATAAACGCCATCTTTATAATAGTGTGTCACGTGGATCTCAGTTGCTTCAGCAGGAGTTTTTCTGTGTCTGGATACTTTGTCCTGTTTAAAATGAGAATAATTCACAGAAAGAAAAATACATCCAAACTAAATCTCTGTTTCAGTCAGCTCCCTAGTTCAGTAGTCAACGCACTGGTAAGGAAGTCATTCAGAGTGATAGTTAGTGGACTTAAAGGGGTCATATGATGCGATTTCAAGTTTTCCTTTCTCTTTGGAGTGTTACAAGCTGATTGTGCATAGATAAGATCCCTGAAGTTGCAAAGACTAAAGTCTCAAAACAAAAGAGATATTCTTTATCAAAGTTAAGACTCTGCCACGCCCCCCTAAAACGGCTCGTTCTAACACGCCCCCACATATCTACCTCACTATGTGGAAATATTAGCATAATGCCGCCCAAATGTGCACGCAAAGAAAGAAGGCGTGGTTTCAGTAACCGCAGTTAGTGTTGAAGCAGCATGTCAGGGAGACGCTGTGTGTTTCTAGGCGAAAGCAAAAGCATCTTCACTCTCCTCTTTAATAAACGCCATCTTTATAATAGTGTGTCACGTGGATCTCAGTTGCTTCAGCAGGAGTTTTTCTGTGTCTGGATACTTTGTCCTGTTTAAAATGAGAATAATTCACAGAAAGAAAAATACATCCAAACTAAATCTCTGTTTCAGTCAGCTCCCTAGTTCAGTAGTCAACGCACTGGTAAGGAAGTCATTCAGAGTGATAGTTAGTGGACTTAAAGGGGTCATATGATGCGATTTCAAGTTTTCCTTTCTCTTTGGAGTGTTACAAGCTGATTGTGCATAGATAAGATCCCTGAAGTTGCAAAGACTAAAGTCTCAAAACCTTAGGAATCTTTAAGATTACTTACAACAGAACAGCAATGCATTTTATGGACGACCGTTTCGTGAACCTAGGAGATGAGGTAATTCTGACTTTGCTATGAGAATCTGGTGCTTCTGAATCAGCTACTGTTTTGTTATTAGTTTAAGTATTTGCTATTGACTGTTCAAATGCGGAGTTTTGCGCATCGTGTGTGTGTGTGTGTGTGTGTGTGTGAGTGAGAGAGAGAGAGAGAGAGAGAGACAGCGTCACGTCACAGTGGAGTCAGCTGTCTTAACCGCGACTTGCTGTTTTCGGCCAATCACAATGCACTGGGTCAGCTGGCCAATCAGAGCAGACTGCGCTTGTCGGAAGGAGGGACTTTGTAGAAAACTAAGCGTTTGAGAGAGGCGGGGCATAGAGGACCTACAATAATGTACAGTATTTGACAAATAATGTGTTTTTGAACATTAAAGCATGTCAACATATTCTGTTACACAAAATACACAAAATAATGATCTTTAAAAAAGCATCATATGATCCCTTTAAATGACCAGATTAACCAAAAAACATTGAAAGAAATACAAATTCATAAAAGAACACAAGTCTTTGTGTTAACTACAGACTTTTAATATTTATGATTTATAATTGGTATTCAATAAGTAGATGTTTAATAATTTGCACTTTCATCAAAACGTTTGTAGTTGGTTTGTAAAAGTTATCATTATACAGGTTTGTGTTTGTTGTTCTCGTTGCATTTGCACTGCTTTGAGCAGCAGGTGTCGTCAGTGTGCGCTGATTCGAGCGATTCAAAATTAAAAGCCACTGTACATCAGGATTGGAAACCTCTGCGAATTAAAATGTTACAATAACACATATGCAACAACAAATGGATAAAAAAAAAGAATAAGCTGAACAACTAAACTTTAAATATAACCACCTTTAAAGCTTTTTATTGTCTATTTTTTCTCAAAACTGTTTGCAGTAGGAAGAGTCATCCAAGACACCATGCTCCTCTGAACAAAAATGTGATTTTATTCCTTATAAAATGTTGATTAAACATATCTATTATAAAATAATCAGTGAATGTTAATGTATTTGATGAATGTTAGAAGAATTAATGAATGATAAAGGTAGTTTTCAAAGAGTTTCTTCTAATGAGCTGATGTGTTGAATCAGGTGTGTTTGACGAGGCACACATACAAAATGTACACTGCTGGAGATCTTTGAAAACCCCTGATCTAACACATTCAGTGAGCCAGAAATGTCTTAAAGGAAACTAACATATGTTTTAAAGTTTTATTCTTTGCATAATCCCTGTTAACTGCAGTAAGAAATCAAACGGCCATATTTTGGTCTTTGTCACTTAAAGTTGTGTTAAACATGAACATACATAGGGGAAAGAAATAAAAGACAAATACTTATTTGCATGCAAAACAACAAAACAAAGCATTTGAGCATCTGTTTGCCAATGGCATGTCTGTAAAATAAACAGCAGCAATTAATATAAATAACCCAGAGTCATAAGGATACACTAACAGTATTGTGCTACACACCAGACATCGCTTTTACAAAGTGACAGCTGGTGTGTGTGTGTGTGTGTGTGTGTGTGTGTGGTCTTGACGTCTTTATGCTTCATCAGATGTTCAGAACATTCTGTTCATCTATTAGAACATTTTAATTTGGCTAATTAGAATAACAAAGTACTGCATAATGTTTTAGTTTTTTTTTTTTTTCATTAAAGTGAATAAACTGACCATTTTCTTAAAAATTAACCAAAAACATTTTTTTACATTTTTGAGAGAGCGGTTTATTTAATGATTTATTTATTGTAAAAAGACAAGACATGAAACTAAATCCTTTAATGTCCTTTAATGAGGAGCAGATGCACTGCGTTATATATTCAAGTCACCACTATTTTGGCCATACATGTTTACCAGAGATAACTTTTATTGTTGCAAAAGTAGAGCATTAAAGTTATTACATTTCCATAAATGATAAATTCAGAATAACTTTTTAAATAACAGAATCATTTTTTAAAACAGAGAAACAAGCAATTCACAGATAATACGCAATGTTTTCACCTTCCACATTCAGCTTTAAAATGTAGCAACTGATAGTAAAATTGAGAACTTCAGTGTGCATGTGATTTAAGCTTTACTCCCAAACACAGGGCCAGCTCACTCTTCTGAATCTTCCCGTCTTTATTCACATCACAGTGGCGCAGCAGAACCTCACGCAATTTATCCAGATCAACACCTCTGATACTGGGCTGCGAGAAAGAAGAAAGTGGTGGAATACAGAGTGAAAACAGGCAGAAATGTATGTAGAAAGCTCAAGAGAGCGTCACAAACAGTTGCTACTAGTGGCAATTATTAGTAGTATTATACTAATATTATAGTAGGCTTTAAAATTTCCAATAAATAATTGCATTTATGTCCAGATCCCAAACTATTTAAGCCTAAGTCACACGCTAATGTTTAATACGGAAGGTTATGGACCCAAATAACCGAAAAACAACAAAGCAAAATGTATGAGTTATAGCAGTAGTGATGTTTCCTTAGAATGTTTCACAGACATGTACGTTTAGGTTTGTTATAAAATTGGTAACTTGTTTGCTTGTGATGTTTATTACTGTTCAATCACTTACCCTGACGAGCTCCGTCATGTCTTTGACAAAACCGTCCACCTCTGGTCCTTCAAGTGCTCCAGTCTTACTCTAAAAAGAGAGCCAACTATTAAAGAGCTGGATCTTCTTTAGCAGTGCTTTGTGTTTGTTATTGTGTCCAAATACCACATTTGAAATGTATCATGACAGTTAGTATCTAATGTACACGACAACAAACAATATAATGCGAATGAAATCATAATTCATCAGTCCACAAAAAGTAATTCAAGGTGAACTTTCGTTTAACACTGTAGACTTATCCATGGGGTTAGCTGGTTACTTAGCATGTCTAGTTAGCCACTAATGCTATGAGCAGTTCTTGCAAGCAACATATAAATTGCAAATATTGTAGATGTTTGCCAATGACCAGTAGTTTAAAATTGTGCCATCAGCCAATTAGTGTTATTGTCATGTTAGGACACAATAAAACATGGCATTTACAGCTCAGGTGATTTAAAAGCATGCACAGGACATGTTTGTATTAACAGTACTGTAGAAAGGTTAAAAACATTCTTACAATATCATAATGTGCAAAGATCTTCTCAAAGTCTCTCTTTCTCTCCTCTTGACTGCTGGCCTGAAGAGGGCAGGAAATAGAGAAGGTATCATGCACTGGTTTGCAGCAAATTATTACATTTAGGAGTCACAAAATATGAAATGAATTTGACAAAGTACTAACATCCATTTTGAACTGCAACAAGAAGTTGTCTTGCAGAGCCAGAATTCTGGAGAGGAAATACAGTTTCATACTTGATGAACTCCACAACACTAGGCGCGTTTCCATTACCCTTCAAATTGCGCAAATTGAAATTGCGAATCGAAAATACGCCTAATGGAAACGCGTCAATTTCGCAAAAACGGCCATATATCGCAAAAAAGTTTTTACGCTCGCATGAGGTGGTTTTTCAGGCAATGCGAAAAAGGATTAATTCGCAAAACTGCAATGGAAACGGCTTTTTCGCATTTACAGGTCACATGGCGTATGTAAAAAGTCA